CCCCCTTGACCCTAGGAAATCACAGTACTTATCACACGGCGCTGTGGGAGGCAGAGAGGAGGCCGGGGATGGACCGGCCTAGAACGTGGACCCGCGTCCCAGGCACTAACTGTTGTTACCGTCACCTTGGGCCGTAGCGTGGATACCTCCGTATTTAACCACTTCCTTTTTGGGGAATGTGAGGTGGGCTCCAATCTCTAACTATGACCAACCACATCCTCGCACATCCCCACACCCGTGTGCAGGACAGAGTGACGTTTTGTGTCAACTGGTCTTCAAACTACCTTCAGGGGAACCCCAGGGCTCCACGGCGATTTCAGAACGCCACATTGGACACTCTTCTGCCAAAGGAAGACTGGAGCTTCCTGAGAGGTTTGTGCCTCATGTTAGCGTCTTGTGCATCATTGTTTGGCAGAACATTTCCTCTGGGGGATAAAGAGAGTTTGTTACTAAATACACCGCCCGCCCCCCCAGTGTATTATCAGGGGCCGGGGGCCGTTCCAGGAGCCCCTGGGATTCTGGAAAGAAGGGATGGAACTTTATGTAGACTGTTTTCTCCTAAACACGCATAGCTACAGTAAGTTTAATCTGTAAATTTGGCACAGAGGTGAACAACGGGACAGATAATAAAACAGAAAACCGGAACGTTGTCGTCAAAGTAACATCACCGCGGCCTTACCGCACTATCCTCACTCTGGCGATGACGTGAGGTGATAAAACGCCCAGGCGATGAGGTGAAGCGGGATGAGTGACCGAGCCTTAGGCCATCAGTGACCCGGTAGCACGTGAGAAGCGGGATCGTCCGCTGCCCGACTGCGGTTGACCGCCAGCTGCTGGAACCGCAGGCAGAGAAACCATGGGTCAGGGGACCTCTGTGTGACCGAAAGTCGCCGGTGGCTCAGCCTAGAGAGAACACTGACAGCGTTATAAAATGTTCCAGAGTCATCTCAATCCCACATTCCCTGGCCACACCCCAGGACCCACGGGAGCTACCTTTCGCCGAGGGAGTGCATCCCTTCCCCAGGCCGGATTGGTGACATCCGTGCTGGCCGGGGCATTGCACCCTGGCCATGGCAGACACGGCCCACGCGGGCCCTTCGGGGCAGCGTTAACGCCTGCCAGCGTGCCGCGGCAAGTTCTCGGACACGTGAGCTGGCACCTGTGGCTCGTGCATCCGCGAGGCTTCCCGGATTTGGCTCAGCCGGGCGGCGGGAAGGGTCCAGATCCGTTCAGTGCGTCCTTCCTGGCACTGAGGCTGGTGCTTGACCCACGGCGGGAGGGTTGAGTCAGCGAGAAGAAGATACCGCATTACTTTTATCACTTCGGTCCGCAAAGACCAGACTGACTTTGCTGCGCGGCCCTCGCCCTGAAGGCACACGGCCGCCAGGAACAGGCCCTGGGAGCCCGTTCAGGATCTAAGCAGCCTCACCTCATGGTGCGCGGTCATGAGCAACGCCCTTTCATGGGGACAGAGACTGCGTGCACGTGGTTGGCAGCCCTGTGTGCAAATGTAACACGTTGGGGGGGGGGGGGCACGGACTTCCCGTGACCACACCGTGACGATGACCGAGGATCCAAAGCAGATCAATGCCACGCGGGAAAGCCGGTTTTGGGGGGAGGGTTCAGGGAGGAGATGAAGCGAAGGCCCCACGTGCAGGGCCGGGGTTGGGCTGCTGGGCATCTGGTGGCCCCCGGGCTCCGCGTTGGGCCGGTCTCCAGAGACCTGGCTCCTCTGGGGCCCCGTTTGTGACGAGGCCACCTGCCCTGAGGCACCAATCACTCCAGTGCATCAGTGGAGGCCTTCTCTTCCTTCTCTCTACCCCAGGGCACCCCCTCTGGAAGGGCCCCGTCTCTGTGCCGGGGGGCACCCGGCAGTCCCCCATCAACATCCGCTGCAGGGACAGCGTCTACGACCCGCGGCTGAAGCCTCTCATGGTCTCCTACGCCGCAGAGAGCTGCCTCTACGTCTGGAACACCGGCTACTTCTTCCAGGTGGAGTTCGACGACTCCACTGAGGGGTCAGGTGAGCCGGGGCCGGGGCCAGGGCCTGTCACAGCCAGGCCACGGGGTGGGCGGAGAAGGGGACCGGGGCTTTGCTGACGCGTGGTGTTTGGGGGCAAAGAACAGAGGCATCTCGGTGTCGCAGGGCAGGGAGGTGACGCTCGCTTTAAGGATTATGACACCCACGCCCGACCCTTGCACGGCTTTACTGCACATCCTGGGGGCGGGTCGGGAAGAAACGATGTGCCGAGAGAAACGCACATGTACGGCAGGTCACAGAGGAGAGCGGAGCAGGTGGGGGAGAGAGGCGCGGTGGGGGCGGGGCCCGCAGGCGGAGGCAGAATGAAATTGTACCAAGGCCGGGGCAGGCCATCCAGAGCCGGGCCCCTCGCTGGTCCCTGCCCAGAGGACGCCCAGCGGCTGTGAGGCACAGGGGGCGGAGCAGGGACTCCGTGAGGTCTGGGAAGCTGCCTTCCACCCCGGGACTGCTGCAGGATTCCGTCTGGCCTTCCTTCAGCACCTGCCGGTATCGTCATAAACCCTGTTTATGCCGCACGCCCGTCTTCCTTCTGGGAGCGGGGGTTGTCGCGCGGACGGGCAGAGGGTGCTACGCGGCCAGCCCCCAGTGGAAACCTTGGGCAGCAGGCCTCTCCTCGGCTTCCCTGGTGGACGTGACTTCACACGTGTTGTCACGGCTCAATGCTGGGGGGACTCGGTGTGTCCCACGTGACTCCACGAGAGAGGGCTCTGGAGGCCGGCGCCTGGTTTCCTCCAGACAGCGCGGTCTACAGAATGTGCTTGCGTCGTTTCGCTGTAATAAATCTTAGCCACGCATACGGCTCTACGCTGAGTCTTGGGAGTGCTCGAATCTGGGGACCCCCGGCCCAGGTCCCTCGTGGGCCAGCCCTCAGCCCATCCCCTTCCACGCACCCGGTCATCTTACTTCCCCATCATCGCCCTGCGAGGACGCCAGCCCCGGGAGGGCAGGACCTCTAGTTTATGCTGAGCGTCGCAGGTGCTCAGTAAACTGATGGATGAACCTCGAATGAGGAGTTAAGGGAGCAAAGGAGCCTCAATTCTCCCCTCGGGAGTGGGGAGCAGGGCGCCCGCCTCAAAGGCTGTTGGAGGAAGAAACGAGGCCTCCGCAGGGAAGCCGTCAGCGGCTCACGGCGTCGCACGGACCAGCTCCCGAAGCAGGCTGCTGCCACCTGCCCTGGCTGCTGACCTGAGTCCGCCTTCCTGGGTCACCGGCAGCAGGACGCCGGAGCGGGAGCTTGCTTGCGGCCTTGCCCTCGCGCAGGGCGTGCCGAGCCTTCGTTAGAGCCGAGCGCCGGCCCTAGACTGTCAGTCTGCTCCCGCCGTCACCGGGAGGTGTCAGCCCTGCGTCCTGGCTCTGTCCTGACGCTGATTCTGTGTCGCCCGGCCTGGAAGTGTGCGGGCAGCCGCAGCCCCCGCTCCGGGCGCCCTGAGCCACGTGCAGCCCATGTGCCGGCCTCCCGGGGGCTCCGGGAGAGGGTCTGGATGGTGAGCGGAGGCCCAGCCTCGACCGGCCTGCCTCCGATGGACGGAGCGGCTGCGGGGTGGGGGCTTCTCCAGGTTGGTCCTCACCGTGACCCTCGGGCACGCCTCTCACGTGGCGTTCGCTGAGGCTGGCAAGGCGGGGGGGGGGGGGGGGGGGGTAGTAGCAAAACGCCAACTCTGGCCAAGGCACGCACAGAGGAACTTCTGGGAAGGACGAGACGGGCTCAAAGGAGAGAAGGGGAAGCTGTGTTCTCAGACCCTGGAAAGCTCCGGAGCTGCCCGGCTCAGCGATGTGTGTGCTCACCTACTCAGCGGGCCGCCTTCTGTGCCCTCGCTGGTCTCTTCCAAGTCCGGATTCCCAAGGAACAACTAAAATTGAACTTCCAGGTTCAATGTGGTTGTACCATTTAAAAAATTTTTTGTGCAGCAACTTTATTGCTTTTGTTTTTTTAAAACACATTTTTTAATGTTTATCTTTGAGAGACAGAGACAGAGCGTGAGCAGGGGAGGGGCAGAGAGAGAAGAAGACACAGGATCCAAAGCAGGCTCCAGGCTCCGAGCTGTCGGCACAGAGCCCGACGCGGGGCTCGAACCCGTCAACTGTGAGATCGTGACCTGAGCTGAAGTCGGACGCTAAACCGACGCAGCCACCCAACTGCCCCGATTTATTTTGAAGTAAACTCTACCCACGATGTGGAGCTTGAACTCACGACTCCAAGATCAAGAGCCTCATGCTCTACTGACCGAGACAGCCAGGTGCCCCTTATGCAGCACGTTGAAAAGACTGAACAAAGAATAATAGTTCCTGAACTTTTCGTTGCTTGGTTATTAGTTATGTGAATGTAGTAATAATTTTGAGAAAAACAGATATGGTTGTGGATGAGTTCTTCTAGAATTCATACTCCTCCCGTGTAATTATTATGTGCAGTTATGGGTCTTACTGATATCTACATAGGTTTATTTCCCTTTCCGTCATAAAATACAAAAAGCTTCGAAGGTCACTTAGGACTCCTGCCTGTGTATTGTTAGGATACATTTGACAAAAATTGTTCAGATTCCCAGGGGAAAGGGTGTGGTGGCTGAGCGTGGCACCTCATCAGTGGCTGGTCAGTGGAGCACCTGTAACGCCGAGTGATAGCCTCACCGAGACCACATGCTCCAGGAAGCAGTGGTCCCAGGGCAAATTGCAATGCTTTTTCTAGAAGGTGGAAGCTTTGCCGCACAGACAAGTGAACATCCTCTTTCAAAAGTACCTCCAGGGGCGCCTGGGTGGCTCAGTCGGTTAAGCGTCCGACTTCGGCTCAGGTCACGATCTCGCGGTCCGTGGGTTCGAGCCCCGCATCGGGCTCTGGCCTCATGGCTCAGAGCCTGGAGCCTGCTTCCGATTCTGTGTCTCCCTCTCTCTCTGTCCCTCCCCCGTTCATGCTCTGTCTCTCTCTGTCTCAAAAATAAAAACGTTAAAAAAAAAAAAAAAGTACCTCCGTCCAATGGATAACAGCATGGCCCTAAGCAGACACCACAGCGGACAGCGTCTGCCTCCTCATTCTCCTCAAGGACAGAGGCCCAGAGACGTGGCTCATTCAAGGTCGAGCGCGGCAAGTGGAGGGTCAGGTTCAAACCCTGTTCCTGCTGCTTGGAAAGCCCACTGGAGTCACCACATCTGCTGTTTGCTGGACCCTTCTCCTCGGCAACGCTTTGCTTACAGAAACTTGAGTACTCCTGAGGATTGCTGAGATGGGTCTTGGCTCCTATTTGACAGATAAGAAAAATGAGGCACAGAGATGTCCATGGCCAGAAGTCACAGAGCCCACACGACAGGATTCTGTGCTCTCCAGAGCAGGGAACTTCACAAGCGTGACCTCTCTCTGGGAAAAATCTGCACCCAACATCCACAGAGGTCGGGCGTGAAGCCAAGGCGCTGACCCCACGTGGCACAGGGGGAGAAGGTCCTGGGCTCGTGGTCAGGTCCCCAGAGAGCCAGCAGCTGCTCAGGGTGCCGGCCAAGCCCACGCCCGACTGCCCTGACAGGTGGAGCGGGGACGTCTCTGTGATGCTTCCAGGGTGAGGTTGTTGCCGTTATTTCTGTATGGGAGTCTTAACAGCACCTGTGACTTGGGCTCTAGATGTTTCTGAACCCCACGGGAGCTCAGGCTCAGGTTCGAGGCTGGAGAAGTAGGCTATCACAGGTCGTAATTATCCCCAGAGTCACAGCTCAAGGCCTCCTCTTGGTCAAGAATTTCAATCTCTGGAATTTTTACCCCAAGAGTAACTCAGAATTGGGCACGGCCAGCCCCGGCAGCCCTCTCTCTGCTTCCGGGATCTGTCCCGGGGCGGGCGTGCGACCCCGGTCAGACCGCTGAGCGCCAGAGCTCCCCTGGGAGGCGTTGGAAGAGAATCCCTTCCCGCCTGTGTTGTGCGGGGGCAGCTGGGAGCCGGGCCCGCCGGTCTTCAGGGGAGAGCAAAGCCAAGAGTGGGGAGGAAACTTGAGGCCTGAGGCCCTTGTCGGAGCCTCTAAATGCAGCTGTGCCTGAGGCCAAAGCAGCCCCCGGACCAATAAATCTCTCTTTTTGCTTAAGTCAGTTTGAGTAATGATAATTCCGCCCCTTGTTTCCCAGAGCCCTAATACAGAAGACCAAAAAAAGTGACCGAGTTGAGAGAGCAGAAACGGAAGGGAGTCACCTGGGAACCGGCCGCCTCCCTTGTTTTGCTTTCTGCTCAAATGCGATGCGGGGGCAGCCTGGGTCCCTGAGGCCCAGGGCCGGGGGGACGCTGCACTTGACCCACAGAGGTGGGCAGTCAGAGCACGGGGCCTGGAGACCCCAGGTGGGTCCTCGGGGAAGCCGAGCCCAGGCGAGCCTGGCCAGCGGCGTGCTGGCAAGGGTTTGGCATCTGGCCCTCTAGGGCTTGGGGGAGGGACCGGAAGCCATTGACAGCTTTGCCCGCTTGCCCTGGTGTAAATACTCCACTGAGGCACGGCCGGCCTCAGTCTCCAACAGTCACTGATCCCAGGCGGGGAGGAGAACTCGGCCATCTCCCAGGGCCCAGTTCCAGCCGGTCCCACGTGTCACTGTCCCAGGCCCTCCCCCCGCCACAGTCCCTGCTGCCTCTGAGCTCTCGTGGGCTCTCCAAACGAGGCCTCGTCTGTACCGGCTAAGACCGTTGCACGTGGCAGAGACTCAACTCAACTCAGACTGGCCGAAGCGAACAAGGGGAAACGTATCGGCTCAGATCCTGAAAAGTCCAGGGTGTGGCCGAGTCAGGTGGCAGACGTCCCACAGAAGGAATGGAAAGAATGGAACGGAAGGTGGAAGGAAGCTGAATCCTCCCTGGGGCCCCTGCTCCGCTCTGGTGGGGTCATCCCGGGCCAGAGACGCACCTGCCACTCTGGTTCCCCCTCCGGATTGAGCGGTTTGGAGCGACAGCGCCCCTGCCCCGGCGATCACAACTCAGGCCTGGGCTGCTGATCCTCAAAGCCCCGCATAGCGGTTGGAGCGCAACGCG